TGACGAGCGTCACTCCTCCTTGGTGACGCTCGTCACTCACCTCTGAGACTGAAAAAATTTCATCTTCAGACTCCATGAGTTGCACGATCTATTCTGCACTCAACCTCTTTTTATGCACTGTTTTAAGCTCCTTTTCATTCCTGACTGTGATGGCATTAACCTGATGCTTGGGATTGATGTCAGTCCTAAAGGAATCCCTCTTGCCTTTGAACAGCTCCTGCAGTTTGAGCAACCTACACATCAAGCTTCTTCATTTGAGAGTTCAGACTCTCAATTTTTCCATTTAGGTCTTGGTACAGCGAATCTAGTTTGCCATTGAAGTTCACTGTCATCTTCTGCTGTCCTTCAAGTATCTGCTCCAGCATAGCTTCCATCTTAGTGTCTTGTGGAGGTGCAGTTTGGTAGGAAGAAGAACCATAATTCCTGCTGTTTTGGTAAGGTTTCTCAACTTCAGTCTTCTAGAACTGTGGTATTGGAGTATAACCAGTTGCATTCTGGCTTCCTGGGAAGAAATTCTTCTGATTATTGCTGTTGTAGCCTCTGTTCCACTGCTGATTTCCAAACTTTTGGTTCTGGAAACCTCCATTGATGAAATTAACATCTTTTTGCTCAAATTCTTCAGGATTTTCGAAACTCTCCACTTCTGCAACAAACTGGACTGATTTCTTTCCCACCAAGAGGCTGTGCATACTGTCCAGCTTTTCAGCAATCTGATTTCCATCATCCACACCAGCTTGTTTCATCCTCTGAAAGTCTGCATTTTTAGTGCTGTTGCTGCAGACCAAATTCTCAATTAATCTGATCGCCTCCTCTGGTCTATTGGTGTTGAAGTTTCCTGCACTTGCTGTATCCAGCGCCATCTGATACTTCCAGTCAATGCCCCTGAAGAAGATCCCAAGTAATTGCACCTGACTGAAGCCATGATGAGGACAGTCCCTTTGATAAGACTTGAACCTGATCCAAGAAGCCTTAAAAGCTTCAGTAGGGCCTTGTGTAAAGGATGCAATTTTCGTCATCATGTCCTCTGATCTTGCATCATCATAGAAGTTATTCAGAAAGGCATTTTTAGTGTCTTCCCAAGTGGTCAATGAAGCAGGTTCCAGTTGCTTCAGCCAATATGCAGCCTCTCCTCCAAGAGAGTAAGGGAAAAGCTTGCAGAACAGGAAGTCATTACTAACCCCATTAGCTTTGACACTGGAAGCTAGATCATCAAACCTCTCTATGTGATCCATAGGATGCTCATGAGGTAAGCCATGGAATGGATGCTGGCCAACCAGCTGATAGTAGACATGTTTAACCTCAAAATCGTTCCTCTGGAAAGGCAGGAGGTCGGATTGCAGCTTTGTTGGCATAGAACTGATCAGGTCTGTTGTAGTCACCTAGAGTCCTCTGCACAATACGCCCAGCAGCGTTATTTGCAGCAGCAGGGACTCCCACGTTCTCATCCACTTGTTGAACCTGCTGTTCAACAATGACATTCCCCTCTTGATCAATTCTCTGCCCCTCTTCGTTTCTCCTGTTTCCTTTCCTGTCAACCAAGTGACCTTCTGCATCTTCAACCAATATAAGTGGAGCGACCATTGTAGATTGCTTCTTAGCTTTCCTGTTAGTTCTCTCCAACCTCGCTAGTTCGTCTATGCTCAAAGTCACAAGCTCCTTCTCCTTGTTGCTTCTGGTACTGCGATTAGGCATACACCTGAAACAGGAACAAAGAAAAATAGCAAAAAGTTAGTAAACAAATTAAAACATAGACAATATCCTAATACTATAAATCGATAGGCAGCTATTACTCCCCGGCAACTGCGCCAAAAACTTGATAGGGTCAGGTTTTACCCAAATAAAACTACTGCAAGTGCACAGAAAAAGCAGTTGTAGTACAAAGAGTTATCGAATCCCAAGGGAGTAAGTAAACTACACTAAAGAGTTCAGGTTCGGATTAAGCTAAGCATAATGTAATGTATGTAATGCGAATGATAAATAAAAGTAAGCAAACGAAATTCAAGTTGTTGATCTAAGTTTCAGAAGACTAAAAGCGCTAAGTCAGGGCAATATCTACTATGAAGGCTAAGGTACTTGGGTTCGAGCATATTAAGGAGTTATACAAGGAGGATCCAGAGCTAGGAGAAGCATATCAGGAGCATGGCAAAGGAGAATTCACTTCTTTTTATCTACACGATGACTTCTTGATCAAAGACAAGCGCTTATGCATCCCCTAATGTTCAATGAGGGACTTGATACTCAAAGAAGCTCACGGTGGAGGCCTTATGGCTCATTTTGGAGTTAACAAGACGTTGGCAATGGTAACTGACCATTTTTACTGGCCGCATTTGAAGAAAGATGTTGAGAAGAATTGTTCTAGATGTGTCACTTGCCACAAAGCAAAGTTCAAGCTTGGTACGAAGCTGCTGTTGTCAACCACTTACCATCCCCAAACTGATGGCCAAACTGAAGTGGTAAACCGTACTCTTTCCTCTTTACTTAGAGTTACACTCGGCAAGAACTTGAAAACATGGCTTGATTGCTTGCCATTTATAGAGTTTGCTTACAACTGAGCTGTGCATTCAGCTACTAAAATGTCTCCTTTCGAAGTTGTTTATGGTTTTAATCCACTAACCCCACTTGATCTTTCGCCAATTCCCAAGTTGAGCAAGTTAATCTAGATGGTCTGAGGAAAGGAGAATTTTTTTAAAAGCTGCATGAGAGGGTCCGAGAGAACATCTTAAAGAAAACTGAAGCTTACAAGAAGCACGCTGACAAGAAGTATGCTGACAAGAACCGTAAGGCCTTGAAGTTTGAACCAGGAGAGTGGGTCTGGCTACACATGAGGCATGAAAGATTTCCACAAAAGAGGAGTTCTAAGCTTGCACCAAGAGGAGATGGGCCATTCAAAGTTCTAGAGAAGATCAATGACAATGCTTACCGTTTGGAGCTTCCAGGTGAGTTTAACATCTCCTATAGCTTTAATGTTACTGATTTATCTCCGATGCAGATGAGTCAGTTTTGAGGGAAAACCTCTCCAAGAGGGAGAGAATGATGAGGATATCGACTAGCCATACGTACCGGATGACGAGGACATCGACCAGCCGTTCGTACCGGGACAGACCACCGTACCACCAGTAAACGGTTCACTTATGACACGTTCCAAGACCATGAGATTAAGAGAAGGATTTAATGAGGCCATACAATCACTCTTGACCAACATGAACGTGGAGAACATACTTAACCCCCAACCGAGCCCCCATTGCACCCGAGATAGACATTGCTGAGGGTTTTGCTAAGATGAGCCTCAAAGATGATTGTACCACTACAAAGCAAGGTATACACGTTTACTTGACAGGAAATGGAGATCAGAACAATAAGAATCTTACCAATGCTGTACCGGAGCCGCGAGATACACCAAGTACAAGCCAAAGCCGATAAAGCATCAGTGGAGCAAGAAGACGTTTCAAGCCAAGACATTGAAGAAACATTACAAGAAACATACAAGCTCGACTTCGTTGGACTTCAAGAGATTGAGGACTTCAAAGAACCAACAAGAGCAAGGCCAATACAAAACATACTCGTCAGCTTTCTAAACAAGCCCAATGAGCACCAAAAACATGTATTTTAAATTTATACAATCTTTGCAGGTAATGAGGCTTGTCCCACTGGTTCTTAAGCACAACAACACGCCAAAAGTGCATCAGTTCGAGCCACAAAGAAGTCAGCATTGTTTAGCTTTTATTTCTTTTTAGTTTAATGAACTTTCCTATTTTGATGTTTTGCGCCTTAAGCGCTTTGTAGCTTTCTTTTGATCTTTATATTGTCGTTTTATACTTTTTATTTCGGCCCTAGGGCTAGCTGACGAGTTCTTATAAAGTTCTCCTGCAGCGTTGTATTATTTTTCACCCTTGATTATTAATAAAGACCAAACTTTCATACAAAGCAAAGCCACCGCTTTACCTTTGTTCTAGCTTGTGTTATTGTACGTGTGATTCGTTCAAGACCAAATGTTTGCTGTATCAGAGAGCTATCCATCCTCTCTGTGATGCCATCAATCAACTTCGTTCCCATATTCATCAGATCCCTCAAGAGAGAGCGTTATAGCCAGCTTGACAGATCCCATCTCGGTTCAAAGAGTGTATTACACACCTTGTTCTATCGTTTCCACCCATCAGTCCGCATAAGAAAGCGTCAAAACCAGTATGTAGACTTTATCAAACCACCCCTTCTGATCCTTGTAACACTCTCATCCAAGTATTACATCAGGTATCTTCGAAATGGAATATGGAAGGAACAGACTGAATAATGTTCTCGTAGAACTGGACAGAGATTAGCTACATGAAAAAATCAATCCCAACCCCCAAAAGAGAACCCAAACAATAACTAAAATCCTTGTTGTAAGAAAACTTTTTTGTTCAGTAAGACTCCGAGGCTGTTGTTCACTGTAAAGCCTCAACCCTTTCGAAGCAGATTACACATTTCATTTTGCATACAATCGAAATGCCAAAATAAAATCCCTCAAAAACAGAACAAAATTTTTTAATACACCACAAAAATTTATCTCTGTAATTTAACTATTGTCGAATTATTAGCTTATAAAAAAGGCTCTCATTATATCATCTGTGATTCTAAACCAGACTTGAACCAGACCAAAATTTAAACTGGTAAGTTCTATTACCATAAGCGAAACCTCATAAGAAACTAGAGCTCCCATCTACTGATTATCAATCAGAAAATAGTATCCAGTCACTGCAATACAGTGTTTAACAGAAGCAAATCCATATCGAACAAATAACAGGGAATACTTCGAGAAATTCAGAACATCGGCTTCATAATCAATTTATTATAAATGGGAACTGAGATACTTCAAAAGAGAAACGTGTTATTCATGCTAAGATGGTAGGATAAAGCTAGATATATACATATATATATATATGACACACGATTGTACAAATTAATAATCACTAGCCCAAACCTCTTTACAAAAGGAATCGTTCTTTGCTGCCGTTAGCACCGTCACCGCCGTCATCATTATCATCATCCATATCGAAGAGATTGAATCCCCCAACATCCCACTTAGCATCTCTATAGTTGAAGCTCGAGCTCACATAACACTTCACCTCATGAAACAAGTTGAGATTATCGACGAGCTTATGAAACACATGGCATCCACAACACTGCATTATTACCAAACAATGCTAATTTAGACCCAAAAACAGTGGTAATAGATCTTCCCACCCACCCGGAAGCTCGAACTCATGACCCTCAATAATATTTGTCATTTTTTCGTTTCAAAGCAAAACGTTACCTGCACGAAGACGGTGCCGTCAGTGTAAGCATGAGAATTTATGGCTCGTGTAGTTCTCTGGCCACAAACGTTGCAAGTGAAGGCAACACGCATACGCCTACGAGGCGATTTCGTGAATAGTGACCATGGAAATGTCGACACCGTATCTTCATGGGCCTTAGCCGGAAGAGACGGCCCTTTCATACCGGAACCGGTAGTCCAGCCTCTAACCGAGGCGGCGCTCAAGACCAATCCCATGGCCTCATCCTACATATTGGGAATTCACGAATTGATCTACTATTCTGGAATTTAACAATTTGAATTCCACACAAAAAAAAAGAAACGACAACTGAGATAGAGCAACACCAAGAGAGCGAGATTTATACATTCGATAAAAGTCGATTCTGGAATTGAGGAACGAGGCTCGATGAGTTCGATTCGGATTTCGGATCGTAATCTTTGTCGTCCTCTGAATTAAAACAGAAAAAATGCAAAATAAGGTTAAGAGACGTTCCGAAACAAAACACGATCGAGAGATGATCGGAAGCAACGAAATAGCAAAGTTTACTCTTCGAAAGCCGGATGATTCTCGTAGAAGATGATTCTGTTCTCTTCTTCGGAGAGAAGATGGAGTGCGAGGAAGATGAGGAGGAAACGATGGTTGCCGCAGAGCTTAAGGCGGTAGCTTCCATGGTTGATCTTTGAGCTTAACAGAGATGGAAGTTTTGTTTTTTCCTTTTCTCTTCTTTCCTTTCCTTATCTATCTTAGGTTGTATTTATTTTTTTTTCTTTTTTCTTTTTATCGTTTTTCATTATGACGTTGGAACGGGCTTAAACCCACGGGATGGAACGGGCCCACAAAGAGAAAAACAATGAATTTTGTTCATAAAAATCTAGTTTTTTTTTTGACATCCATAAAAATCTAGTTGAAACTTTTTATTTTAATCTTATTATATAAAATTTGGTGTTAAATTTGTTAATTAACACCACTATATATAGTAATTAGTTGCTCAGATTTTGATATGTGCCATCATAATTATGTATATTGATTAAAAGTTTACAAAATAAATGATTCCAATAAAATAGAATAATCAAATTCTTTTATATTCATAATTCGATTTTGAAAATAAAACATACTTCTATTTCAGAAAGAACAATAAAAAAAACTAAATAAAATTAATTTTAATTTAAAATATATATATTCAAATACTGATATTTATTAAAAAAAATATTTATATCTAACTTTGTTTTCTATTATATTTTTTTTAGTTTGTTTCACAAGTAATAAAATATTAAATTATAATCAATGTATATATTCATTATAGATAAAATCTATGTTGATGCATTTAAATTAATCAATTAAATTTTGATATGTGTTATAAACATTTTTTTATTTAACAGAATTCAAACAAAACAGAATAATCAAATTTCTTTTACACAGGAGATTTGATTTTGATTTAATTCAAAAAAATAGAATAATTAAATTTATTTTATACAGAAGATTTGATTTTGATTTTTGATATTCTATTTTTTATGTATTAAAAAATATATTTTATATAAAATTGCTTACACGTTGATTCTAATATAGTTAATTAGAAAAAATTGGTTTAAGCCTACTTACAAATGATGAAAAAGAATTTTAATAGTTTTCTTAATATATGTGAAAAAGGTAAAATGACATTTTTTGTAATGTAGAGAGAATATTATTTTTATTTAAATAATTTAAAAATTTTTATTATGACTTCCTCTTCTATTTGTTCTTCCTGAACTCTAAAAATTTTGAGATGTCTTTCTAGATTTTCACATTTAACTATGATAATTTTTAAATTTAATTTTGTTTTCTATTTCCACATATAAAACTTAAAAATATAAATTACGATTAATTTAAAATTGCATTTAAAGAATGATTGTCTAATGATCTATTTAATTAAAAAATCTGATCTGAGATATATTTTTACTAAAATCGAAACTGATACATGATTTTTAGGGTCTTGTGACTCAATTCCTAAAATATAAAATTATGTCATTACAGTACATGAGGTTATCAATCTTTTATGGAACCAAATGGAACTATTCACTAATCATACTTGAAACCATTAGAATATGATCAAGCATGATTAGAGAATGACAAAAAGTCAAAGATAAATGCAAAAACTTTAATTAAAATGATCTAAGATCAACTTGTTCTTCAAGAGATTACAAAGAGAAAGTTTTCTATTTAGAACTGAATAAAACTTGGATAACCCCAAAAAAAGCTCTTAGGTTTAAGTATTTATAGGGAAGGAAGAAAAATGACAAAGTCAACAAAAAGTCAACTTTCAAATGGGCTTGTACCGAGCAGGTCAGCTTTGGTTCTCGTCGGTGCGGCCTGAAGGGCTTTGCAGGAAATGTTGGCTCGGCGAGGTTCGTCGGCTGGCACGCGTTGTGGGATGTACCGGGAAAAACGTGGATGGTTCTCCTCGGTGCAGTTCGATGGTAATTCCTTAACCTCCTCGTGGCGACCAGGCTCATCGATGTATGGACGTTCCTTGCTCGGTATGGGTGCACCGTGGAGAGTCGTCAGTGTACGGCTGGGTCTTCGTCGGTGCAAATCGCCTCCGAGGGAACTCATCGGCGTACGGACAGCTCCGTGGTCGGTATGGATCGTACCGTGGAAGGACATGAAGGTTCTTCACGGTACGGTTCGGCGGTATGAACCCCTTATATCCTGAACGATTCTTCTTGGCTTGACTTCCAGTCTCCTTCTGAACCCCCATTCTCCTAATGTCTCTTAAGCTCTCAATAGACCTGAAAACACAAGTAAAATGAAAGAATGCATGCAATCCTACATGTAAGCTAAGTCTAATTGGGATGAATGAGAGACACTTTGGACAATCTAGATGATGAAAAGAAATGAAAACTGTACTAATGAGGTCTAATGCGATGTAATAATGCAAGCTATCAACTCCCCCACACTTGCTTTTTGCTTGTCCTCAAGCAATTGGGGGAGAGAGGTTTTAAAATGGAGTTCACAACCTAAGGTGTCAAATGAGGAAATGAGTTCAATAACCAAGTTACTAGTTCTAGGATGCAACATGATTTTCACTTTACTTTAAAAGTCTACCCATATTCATCAAAAGCAATAGCAAGCACTCAATCAATCAAATCAAATAGCCATTTTCACATTCAATTAATAGTAACCAAGTGAATCATGCATATGCAAATCAAGAACTTCCATTTAGCTAAAGACAAGGTCATGAGATTAAAATGATCCCATTTAACTAAAATTGGCTTAAAATCCAGGGGATCTCTCAAGAAAACAGAGTGAGCTTTGACAAAATGCTAAGGGTAAAGAACAACCTATGCATACAAAAGCAAATTTTCATCTACCCCACACCCAAAGATGATCATAAACTCTTATATTATACCCAAGACCAAATCCTATGCTACCCTTTTGGTTCACCAATCTTCCTTTTATCTTAAAGCTTCTTGAGAGTGCACTTTTCTTCTTTGAATCTTCTTGGTTGGTTGGCGCTTTTGCTTACTTAGGATCTTCTTGATTTTTGCTTGTGCTCTTCATCATTTGGATCTGTTTTGCTTGGCACATTTTCTTCTTTGGATAAAACCCTTATTGCTTCTTGTTGATTAAGCCAAACCTCACAAGGTGCTTTGTTTTGCACTTCTCATCCTTGCTCCCTTGTGACTTTTCTATTTTCTTTGAAACCAAAAATCGAAAAACTTCATTTGAACCCCAAAATCCTATCCTATTCCAGCTCAAAGAGGAAAAGCTAGCTCTACGTGGAAGAGAGCCTTTGTCGTTCTAAACCCAATACTATTTACTAAGCTCACCCAAATAGAAAAATGCCTCACAATCTCTCACTAAAGATGCATTGTCTTGAAAGGAGGTTAAGGTTAATAGAGAGGAAGTCTAATTAGGCTAGCAAGAGTTATGAATGGATAACAAAGCCTAAATATTTATTTTGTATCCATGAAAGAACCTTTTAATGCATATGACATGATAATTACAATGTCAAGATTATGGTTCAAAAAGATCCAGGGTATAAATCATATCATGCAAGCTTTAACTAGACAAGAGTGTCATGCTAAGAATCCCAAATGTGGTTCAACCTTCAGTTCAAGCTAGACCTTATGCATCAAACAACTAGTATCTGAAAAAGTGAAGACAATTTCGAAATTCAACACCTTCATGGCTAAAGATCATTACTCTTAATGAAAATGTATGCAAACTAAGTGAGATGCATCTAGATTCAATCTAAGATATACAAATGCAGCCTATATGACTTCACAAATTTTGAAATTTTCTATGATGTTTCTATGCCTTAGATGCAATGAATGTGTGATACTAATGAAAGTACATAAGCTAAATAATGCATGAATATGCAAAGAACATGTTAGCCTCAAACACTCTCCCCCACACTTAGATTACACAATCCTTGTGTAATAAAAATGCAAATGAGAGACCATCAACCAACAAAAGGAAAGCAGGAAACTAGAAAACATAGAGTGGTATGTACAATGGTAAAGTGTGTTACCTTGGAGGCTTAGGTGGAAGGAGGATCGTGGAGAGGAGGTGTGGTTCCTTCATCCATAATCTTGCTCGCAATGTAAAGCTTATGTCAATGTCCATTGACTGTAAAGTCTCCTCTTTCATTTTTGAACAAGGTTACAGATCCACATGGCAATACTTCTTTGATCTTGAAAGGTCCTGCCCATATTTACTTCAACTTTCTAGGAAACAGCTTCAGTCTTGAGTTGTAGAGCAACACACTATCCCCAGCCTTGAAGTTCTTGGGCACTATCTTCTTGTCATGAAAAGCCTTGGTCTACTCCTTGTAAATTTTTGAGCTCTCAAATGCTTCAAGATGGATTTCATCAAGCTCATGGAGATTAATCAATTTTTTCTCTTGGGCAGTCTTGATGTCAAAGTTCAGCAACGTAATAGCCCATAGCGCCTTGTACTCTAACTCAACTGGTAGATGGCAAGATTTCCTATAGAGAAGAGAGAAAGGTGACCTGCCAATGGGAGTCTTTGATACAAGAGTTTTGATCTCTTATTCAATCACCCTGCTTGTACTAATCAGTTGTAGTATAGCATAGGGTTTTATCAATCCAAAGGGAGTTATGAATAGATGCCAATAGAGTTGTGAGCAAAATGCTTTAAGTCAAGTGAATCAAGCAAGATTTGTTGTTTACATAACTAGAACTAACAACCTAAGTGATCAAACACCAATCAGAACTCAAAAGAGAACAACTTAGCAATGATCAGAAGCAAAACATAGCAATAAAACAGAGCACTTTAAGCAAAATCAGAAACTCAAATATGTGGTTACTGAATTTGGGAAATTCAAAGGCAAGACTTAGGCTGTTACAAACATCATTGACAATGCAAACAAGCAATCAATGCTAATTCCTAGACATAGACTTCACAATCAAGCAAGTTAAGTCCAATCTCTTGACAAATAACCCTTTGCTAATCATCCTAACAAGAACTAACTCTCTTTAGTGCTAGAACAATCAACAAGCATGCAAAACCAACTCTATTCAAGTCAAGATACTCCTCAAACAGTCAATCTCTAGAGCTAAGGCCAGTAAATCCTTTATTAAACAAGATCAACATTTCATCAAACACTTGGTGGGCAAAAGATGAAGCCTAAATCTAGATTTATGTGATCAAGACAAATCTAGCTTAAGCACAGATT